GGTGAGGGGGAGAAGGAGATGGTGGGATATCACGCGTCCTACTAGTGAGGGGGCTAGCTGGTAGGATGGAAATAGGGTGTAGCAGCAGCGGAGATGGTGGCTCTGCTGCAGTAAGTCTTGCCGGAGTGGGGTAAAGAGGATTGATGGGGGGGGTTTCTGAGTCGTTCTGCTTATTTCTGAAGTTTGTCGTAGTCATTTCCTAAGCAGCTCCAAGTTTTTCTGAGCCAAAGCCGGGTAATGACCCCGGTATCTCAATTTTCAAAATTCTATGTAAACTTCCATATGGGACGCTGGGTCCGGTTCCCAGCACGTTCACTTAAAAAAGAAAAAAAGAATAGGAACGGTGAAAGGACGGAATGAACTGAGGCGAGGGAGTGAAGGGATGGAAGGGGTTGATCCAAGAGAGAAGGGGCCTCATGCAAATCTTGAGGCGATTGTACTTGCTACACCGGCCAGTCGGGGGGCCTGGCTTGGTGGAGTATGCAATGCATAACAGGGTGGAAATGGCACGGCCCACGAATGAAATTATGTACCTTGAGAATAAGTACGTCAGGGCACACACAGTCGCTTGCAAACTGCCGGATGAAGCAGCCAGCTGACCACGGAAGGCTAAGAGGGAGTGGGCACACCACATGGAAGAGGCATGGACACTAGGCAGAGGCCCGTGGAGGGGGGAGATAGACACAGAGGGAGCTACAATGGTTACGTATCTAGCGCCAACCTTCAAATTGAGCGACTGGCTGATAAATGATAGACAGGTGGAGGAGCTGCACGCCGCCGGAATGCAAGGCCATGTAGTACTCCAGCCATGGACGTCACCGACTGAGATGGCTGCAGAGAGATTAGCCAAACGCAAACGGTGGCCGTGGGTAAAGGTATATAAACCTTCCCCTCTGGCAGCCAAAGGGGATGCGGGGACCAGTGGAATTCTTCTTCGGTCCAGTTGCTGTGGAACAAACAGTTGATGACGAGGAACGCGAATACGTGAGATACGGTATCAACGGCCAGTTAAAATATCCGTTGAAGAACAACGTGGCGGTGGCCACAGGACCGTACAATTTCGAGGAAGTTCGGGTTATTACAAGTGATACCCCCTTCTGTGAAGTCTGTTTCACGCATGGCCACATTGGATTGCATGGCAGATGCTTGACGCGAGCGAAAACTATACATGAGCTGCACGACAGAGAAATCAGAAGCAACATGGACCCAATATTGCAGTCAGATCCGCAAGAGGAGAGGAGGTCTTGGCTCGAGTTGGAGCTGCAATTGGACGAAGGCCTTTTTGAAGAAATATGAGCAACAACACAGGCGCAAAGGGAACCAGCAGGGCCGGCCGGCCCAAGCTTGCGATGCAGAAGGCCGGCGAGGCGAGGAGGGGGATATAGGCACAATATGTTGTGTGAGGGTACGAACGACGATCCCATGCAAACAGATGAACCATGATGGCTATTCACGGAGGATCGGAATATGAAGAGGGCCTAAAACGGGGGGCATGAGTCACACAAAGACTGGTGGGGAGGAGGTAGGGGGTGAAGGGAAGGATATAAAGGAGGAAGCTGCAATGCAAACCAGGACTGAGGGGGGGCGAGAACAATGACCCCCGGATCTGGAAGAAGGGGGGACCAAGCGGGGGGAACACAGTCAACGGGCGGGTGCGCAGGAGAAGGTAAGTATGCAAAATGGTCAGCGAAGAAGGGATGAGGAGAGGGATCGGCAACAGGGAGTGCAAGGATCCTTGAGTAGGGAGGGTCAAATTGCAGTGGTGAAAGAGGGAGAGACAAGCAATGGGGTAAAAAGGGGGGTGGATTTGGGGCGCAGCTTGGGGAAGGAGTCAGTCTGAGAGGAGGATGGAGGGGAAGGGGGGGGGGGGGGGGGGGGGGGGGGGGGGGGGGGGGGGGGGGGGGGGGGGGGGGGGGGGGGGGGCAGGGCTCCGGGGATGTTGGAGAAGACATGATGGAGAAGGGGGAAGAGATCTGAGGGGGAGAAGGGAAAAACAATGAATCTAAGCTGATAATAGAAGAGAAAGAAGGAGAGCGGGGAAGCAGGGAAACCGAAGAAAAGGGGGATGAAGAGGGACATAAGCTGCACTGCTCTGAGGAGATGGGAGAGAAGGAGGAGGTAGGGGAAGGGGCTGCCAGGGGAAGGCAGGAGGACCGTTCGGGAGAGTCAGGCACGTCAAGGAGGTCAGACAAACCTACATATAAGATACCAATTGTCGCGGAATGCGTTAACAGGGGGCGCTCTCCGGATGGTCAAGGGCGCAGATTGAAGCAGGTAACTGCAGGCCCCCCAAAGAGGTCTTCTTTGGCGGAATGCTTTCCAGCCTCGACCTACTCTTCGGTAACAGTGGAATCAGCACACAAACAGCGGGTGCAATCGGAAAGTGGACGGGGTCACAGGGGCGTTCACAAAGAGGATGGGAAAGGGAAGGAACTCCCCTGGGAGGCAAGGGGTTAGGACCACGATATTAGCAAAGGGGGAAAAGGGATGTATCGCCACCACCATCGCCATCATTATTGGCCTCCATCCCCCTCAAGGAGGCAAGTTTTGGCCTCCCCGTGGAGGCACTGGAGGGTTCGGATGCTGATAACCGAGGGGAGGCGGAATCGACAGAGTCGTCATCTGATTCATCGGACACATCGGAGTCGTCGGACTCCTTGAACACAGAGATACCGGACAACAGACTGGAGAGCGGTCAGTCAAATCATCAAATTGCAGGGGAACAAGAGCAGGAAACTACGGGTGGGGAGGGACAACACCACCAATCGCTGACTTCGAAAGGAATGGACTCTGCTCCTGCGCTGCCAGCATCGGAGGAAGACAATCAACAACAGCAAGAGAGTCAGCAGCAGCAGGGCCCCTTGGACCAGATAGCCAAGTTGGTCCGGCATGAACACGTGGGGGCTTGACTGAAGGACATCATGCGGGCGGGAGAATGTTATGTTTGTCCCATTGCCTTCTGGCGAGCAACGGATGAGATTAAGCTCCTTATGGAGGGAGTGCCGGAAGTGCCAGTTTTAGGGTGACAAAGCAGCCGCAAGAGCAACATGTGTTGAGGGAGATCCGCAAATGGGTGGGCCTGAGGTACAAAGTTATATCGCTGCCCCAAATCTCGGCATCCCGATTTGTAAGACAAATGGTGGATGGCAAAGAGTATGTGGTGTATGTCTACTTCACAGAAGTCATTCCCAAAAAGTCAGGTATCCCGAGGCTGGGGGCGAGCGGTATGCTGTGGGTGCGGTTCGCTGACGCCTTTGGCCCTACGGCCTCATCCCAGGACTATCACATGGTCCATGCTACTTCTTTGACCATTCTTAACAGCGTTCATGCGCGACTGAAAAAAAAAAAAAAAGCGTTCATGCGCGACTGCCGCCAGAGGAGCATGTGGGAGCTCGACAATTCCGAAAGGGAGAAGGAATACGGGAGCAAGGGGAGTAAATACGTTAGGTTGTATGAGTGAGGGGGGAGGGAGGAGATTAGCGAGTACTTTAACTTGTCAAGGTGTCGCAGGGTGGCGATGCCTCCCCAGCAACAAAAATAGCAGGAGTTTCAAGATTGAAAAATGAGGAAGTAGGTTTCGTAGACAAGGGAATGAGGAGGAGAGAGAGGGAAGAGATAGCGGAGTGATAGAAAATCGGGTAGAATCAGCAATGAGGAATACTACGGGGATTGGAAGGAACTGCAATGGGTTGAAGGTGCTCACGTGGAACGTGAGAGGGCTGGGGGCTAAATCAATCCTGCCCAAAAGAAGGGAGTTGGCAAGAAAAGTTAGGGTGGAGCAAATAGATGTAGCATGTTTGCAGGAGATGAAGTTAAACGAGGCCAGAACAGCAGAGCCCATGCTATGGTGGAAGGGGCACCAGGTGTGGGCCCCGGCATAGGGGACGAAGGGGTGGGGTATGCATTCTGGTCTCCCCCCATTTTCGGAGGGAGGTAATAGACTGGTTCTATGACTCGCGGGACTGGTGGGCATGGGTTGTATTGCAATGGGGGGAGGTAACCTGTGGGGTTGCCGCAGTATACGGGCCGGCAGGGAGAGGAGCATGGCGCAGGATGTGGGAACGACTGCAGACTTTGGTCCCGGAAGTAAATAATATAATAATTGTCGGGCACTCCCTCCCCACTGTGCGTTGGCACTGATGTAGATCTGCCAACAGGACAATCCTGACGTTTTCTAAGGCACGTTCCTGATATGCCCGTAGCGGCAGGGTTGCACCCTGCCTGCGTCTCTCGTTCCTCAACGTCCACAAGGCCCATCGCACCACAGCTCTCACAATCTCCTTCGCCATCAATTCCCCAAAGGCCAATTTGTTGACCTTAATCAAGGTTCCCCAGAGGATCTCTGCATCATCCGTCTCATCAACATTCAGGGGCGCCCCATCTGCAGCTTCCTATGCCCACCATTGCCAAAATGCCCGGACCTCCGGGCACCTCACAAAAAGATGAGGGATAGTTTCCACCTGGCCACATCCCGCAGCACATGTCTGGTCCTTATATTGACTTTTTGTGGCTTGCCATTGCGCTGTCGGGATTGCCAGGTGGTAAATTGGCCGAGTAAACCCGCCTGCTTCTGGTCTGGTAGAGCTTCCATAATGGCACATTGTTCATTCCAGCTCCGCTGCGTCCATCTGTTGACGAACTTGACGTAGATGTCCGGGAGCCAGGCCCACTTAGCCCATCGTTCCTTTAGTTCCCCGCAGATGTTTAATGGCTCCAGTAAGGTGTTATATATATTTTTTGTGGTCACCTCCTGGATCGTCATAGAATTTTTTGTGCATTCTCTGCGGTGGCCATTCCCACTCCCTTGGGTCCCACGGCAGATCCCGCAATCTTGAAGCCACCTGAAATGGCAAGAATTGCTCTTCTGCATTTTTTTCCCCTTCACAAACTGCCACTGTCTCTATCATGGCTCTTGCTAACTTCTTCTCGGCAGGTCTCCCCTGTGCCCTCACCTCTTGCAGCAGTTCGCCCAGCCCATCATAACCCAGACTCGGACTCACCAACCATTCAGTGACCTGCAGGTTGCCATCCGCTAAGGCATGTTCCACCCTGTACAGTGTTTCTGGCGCCTTGTTGCCCTTGAGCTTCACCCATTGCCCCACTGTTATATCATCTTGCTTCAGGAGGTCGACCCACTGGGGGGAAATCGCTTCCCTCAGGTCTCTCACCCGTTGTCTCCTCTTCATCCGCCCTTGCAGGGTGCTCTCCATTTCTTCACTTGTTCGCCAATCCTTCCGCTCCTCTTCCCATATGTGGCACTTTGTAAATGCCTTGCACAGCCCATTTCCACCCAAAAGCGCCTCGAGGGAAGGGTTCCCCCTCGCCATCGCAGATAAAGCGGTTATCAAACAGCGACTTGTTGAAGACCGCATCTGCAGTTTTCGGCAGTCGGCATCTCAGCTGAACCTTCTTCCACAATGCCAACTTTTGGGACCAAACCGTCTCCCTTCAGAGGTGGCCTATCGCAGAACTACTTATCAGGCATAGGTCCACCAGTTCCCGTGGGATTTGGAGCGCCCATGCCAAATGAGTCTGCTTAATCTCTTGCCAAGTTGCCCCCCTTGTGCGCAGCAGAGCCCAAATCACTTGCCAATTTTGTAGTGCGATAATTTGCAGTCACGGGTCCAGCAATCCAAGGCCCCTGAAGCATCTTGGTCGAATGAGTTTATTGAACTTTATTCCATGCCACCCTACATATGGAGTTGCTGGCCTTCGCATTGTTGGACCACAGGTGTGCATGGACAGCCTTCCTGATATAGCGAAACGCTCGTCTGCACGGCATGTGCACTGTGCCTGCATACCAAAGTGTGGCCAAGACCGAGTTCTTGATGACTATGGCCTTACCGAAGACCCCCATGCCTCCTCTCGCACTCCACGTCGTCAGTCGAGCTACCGCCGCTGTGGCTCGTATTGCCATCTGCTTAACACCCCCATAACTTGGCGTAAGATTGGCTCGTAAAAAAAAGCCATTCTTTCTCCTGTTCTCACAGTGGGGATATCCCATCCCTCCGGGGGGTCCTTGTTAAGTGGAAGAATGGCCTTTGATTTATGCCAATTAACTCATGCCCCCGAGTGCCTGCAGAGGAGTGCCAAGTCTCCTTTGAGGATCCCCAACTGTTGAGCGGTCAGGAGGATCACAGCACCGGTATCATCCACAAAAGCCGTAGTCTGCAGTCCCACTGCTGGTCCCGCCTTAAGGCTGACTAGGCGGTCGTCAGCTCTCAAGATTTCATGCATTGATTCAATGTAAATAACATAGAGGGCTATGCTCCCCCTGTCTCTTATACACATCTAGATGTGTATAAGAGACAGCTGCAGAGGAGTGCCAAGTCTCCTTTGAGGATCCCCAACTGTTGAGCGGTCAGGAGGATCACAGCACCGGTATCATCCACAAAAGCCGTAGTCTGCAGTCCCACTGCTGGTCCCGCCTTAAGGCTGACTAGGCGGTCGTCAGCTCTCAAGATTTCATGCATTGATTCAATGTAAATAACATAGAGGGCTATGCTCCCCAGAATGGAAATGGAGCCAGGGCCATAAGGACCTGTTTTATTTATTAAAAACAAAATAACATAGAGGGCCGGGAATAGTAGGCACCCCTGCCTCACTGAGCGGGTAACTTTCAGGTTGTCTGACCTCACTGAGCGGGTAACCTGTATTACCGTAATTGCTCCTGTAAGCAGGTTCCACACCCAACTGCAAAAGATGCCCCCTATTCCTCGCCGCGCCATTCCCTGCAGCAGAAATTCCCAGCGGACCTGATCATAGGCCTTCTCGAGGTCGATAGATAAAAAGGCCATTCCTTGACCTGTGCACTGTTCCTCCTCCAGTATCTGCTGAGCCAGCAGTGCGTTCGATAATATCTGGCGGCCTGTCACAAAACCCGTTTGAGTTTGATCGATGATGCGCGGTAGCACTTCTCTCAGGCAGGATGCCAGTATCTTGGCCAATATTTTATTTAACGCATTTAAGATCGATACCGGTCGCCAGTTGCTCACATTCTCCTTTGCCCCTTTCATGTACAGCAAGACTGCATATGCGTCCGCAAGGCCCTGTGGAAGGGGGCCATACCGGAGTGCCTCATTGTAAGCTGCTGTTAACAGAGTAGAGAAGAAGTTGCAATAATCCTTGCATAGCTCCACCGCCATTCCGTCCAAGCCTGGTGCCTTGAGTCTGCGATCGCATTCTGCACCTCGCCGACAGTGATCTCCTCATCTACCGGTAGTTGGCACGTGCTCTTGAGGTCAAGCCGCCGCTGAACATGCCTCCAAATCTCTTCCTTCGGCTCTCTATGCATGTCTTCGCTGGTCCAATGCTCTTCCTCAGCGAGAAGGTGGCGATAGAAGTCTGTGACGCACTTCAATACGTCATGTGTGGAACGCTGCCACTCTACGTGCTCATCGAACGGGTCCATAGCTGTTAACAGTGTCAGTGCGGCCTTGCATGCAGCGGGTTTAGAAAAGAATTGGTGCGACATACGTTCTCCCACTAAGATCCATGCCTCCTTTGGGTGTCTGCCCCATTTATTCGCCTCCTCGCCCTGCCACTCCCTCCATCCTCGGGCTGCCTCCAATCTCTCTGCCTACCACCCCTCTCCGATTTGGTCCTCTGACGGGCCTCGATTCAGGTCCTCCGACCTACGAGCGAACTCCTTCTGCAAGTCTACTCTCAGCCTTTGGGTCACACATGCTCCAGCAGGTTCTCCTGTGGGCAATCTTCCAACCATTTTTCCCAGAAACTGGCCACCACCGGCCGATATTCTTCGCTTTTGAAAACCCATGTCGGGATTGCCTTCGGAGGGTGGCCCATCTCGAGATTGCCCATAGGGTAAACTGCTATTACGGCTGAATGATCCGACGTGGCCATCGAGCTAATCTGCACTTGCTCGATTACTTCGTTAAGGCTCGCCGACACCCATATCATATCGATGTGGCTGCACCAGACTGCAGTGGTTCCCCAGAAGGTAAAAGCCCTCTCTTGCGGATATAACGTTCTATATGAGTCTGTGGAGCCCAGCCCTGTCATTTTGGGAAAGATGGAGACCGTATCCGCAGTTCTTGACTAGGAATTCACACACAGGCCAACTGCAGTTTGGCCCCATCTTGGCACATTATATTCCTCAGCCGGAGACCGAGGATGAAGAGGAATAGGGTACAGCCCCAACAGATTGAAACTGATTGCAGTTTTGAACATATGGGATGTAGAGAGAGGTGGGGGACGGATGGGATTGTAGATGTACCATACTTAGGATAGGTGGATTCCAGGAGATAAAAGGGGCAAGATAAGGGGAAGTTGACGAAGATAGGGGTTGGGCGATAGGGAGGTGAGTTTCACAGAAAAGGGGGGGACAAAATTTCGGACAAGGTGTGAAAATTGGAAAAATTGGGGCAACTTGAAAATAGAGACAGGATACCGCGGGGGCTACCGAAGAGGTCGCTGGACCACCAACACAGAGGAGAGCAGACGGTGTGACAGGAGGACGAGTTCTGGTCAGACCTCCTCAAAACCTGGCGCAGACTCCCACTTCCAGACAGACCCCCCCCAGACTGGTGGGAGGAGGTCTTCCGTCAGCCCCTTTTTGGGAACAAATGGATCACAGATACGCAAGGGCGTGTAATGCCGAGTTCAGTTCCCCCATGGGAAGGTTGGGTAAAACGGCGGATCCTGCGCGTGGGGGACCTATGGGACTGCGAGAGCAAAAATTGGAAAGGCATCGAACAACTAAGAGCAACGCTCAGATACTGTCACCACATAGAGTGTCACCTAGATCAGCTAATTGAAAGCATCCCCTTGGCATGGTATCAAATATTGAGACAGGGCCCATCAATAAAAGAAGGGGACTGGGTGACTCACATTGGACTGGCAGGGAGAGTTGGTAGAGTATATATGACAGTCTCACAAAAAGCCTTAATAGAATACTATACTGTAGAACAGAAGGGCACCCTCAAAGGAAGTGCAACCCCTTTCCAATGGGTGGACAAAACAGAACTCATCAGAACCAGAGTGCCAGATGAAGGAAAGGGGTGGTCAGCCTTCCATCCAGACAAAGACATTCGGGCCTTGCCTTTTGACCCAGAGGAGTGGCGTTGGAAACTTCCACAGATCCAAACAGGGCATACCTTGAAATGGATTTATCTGCATAAACTGACAGTTAAAACCACTTATAGGATGCTACGTCCCAAACGTTGCCTGAGGGATAAAATAAATGACCGTTGGGCCAGGCATTTAAATGTGGACATGAATCTTTTCAAACCCATCCGTTGGTTCCAGGAAAGGAAGTCCCGACCGGCTAAAATAAATTCCTTGCAATGGCAGATAGTTCACCGCTGCCTACCTACAAATAACTGGTTGGTCGATCGTACATACTTGGAACAGAGGGGGGAACTATTACCACGGTGCCAACACTGCTCTAACCTCTTCCCATCACACAAAAGAGCTGAGACAATCGAGCACGTGTTCATGCAATGCCCGATTGCCCAGTTCATTTGGAGAAATTGGGAACGCATCTGGAGGAAGATGGGCGCCTCAGCCCCCTGGCCTTGGTCATGGCAAACGATACTGGCAGGCCACTGGCGACTAGTAGAAGACACCTCCAACTTCGAAGATAATATGTTCAGATTAGGGAGGTGGACAGTGTTATGGGCCTTATGGTGGCAACGGTGTCTTCTTACTCTAGATAATGTCCAAATTGATGCAGCGGAGATCATGGAACAAATAAAACAACAGATCCAGATGGAAATAACACAAAAATGGCAAACTCTGAAATCACAATTGAACCTATTTCGGCAGAGAAAAGACATTAAGAAGGCAAGCACTTCCTTCTGCCAGGAGTGGTTAGGAGGGGGAGCGGGTATGACGACACTTTAGATGACTATCAAGACTTAGAAAGGATGAGGGACTATAAACGTTTGTTTAAAGACTGGTTGAATATTGATCCCTCTCTCCTCCTATGCCCCCCAGCGGACTTTCCTGATCCCTTCCCGCCCCACCCCCTCTCCCTTACTGAGTACTTCACATAAAAGGAAACAGGTGGTAGTCCGGTGCCCCCTGGACACAACCACACTCACAGGTGATACCTGGCAGCTTAGGGACACTTCAAAGACATACCCCCCTAAAAGGAGGGTGGGAGTTTAAACAGTAGAGGCAACAGTACAAACAACAGCCTTCTGGGCGGCAACAGGCCGATTTGATTTCATTTTTGATTTCATGAGCTACGACACTAAAAAAGATAAAAGTTAGCAGCTGCTCAGGGCGAAGGAAG